GCGGCAGGGTCTCCCTGTGTTTCTCTGCCAGTCCTGGAACTCCAGGCTGCCTTTTAACTCACAGACCCACCTGTCTGTCTCCTAAGGGGTAAGTTTGGAATCCCTGGTTATCCGCTGCCAATCAAAGTGAATTAATAAATCCAGGCTTAATTAACAGAGCAAAGCACTCTCTCGGAGCAAATGTGGCGGTCAGATCCTAAGAAGCCCTGGGGAAGGGCTCACCCTTGGCAGGCTTTCTGAGGGGATAGTGTCTGAGGGCAGAGAGAGATGGGGCTTCCACCTACTCATCCTAGACTCTTTGGGTATATGGGTGCCAGAAGCCCAGGTGGAGTCATACTGTGTTAGGAGTATGACTCGCGATGAATACAGCGGGAGAGACAGAAACCTATAGACATGACTAATGTGGATAGTTTATTGCGGGGTGGGGGTAAGAAAATAAGGGAAGGAAGGACAGAAGAGAGAGAGACAGAGCTGCCTCCTCAGAGAACACAACAAAAGAAGAGAGAGGGAACAGATGGGTGACAGACACCTGTAGAGCTGACTTATATTGAAAGCTTATTGATGGGACCTGACAGAACAAGAAAAAAACCACAGCAAGGTATATAAGACAAAAAACAAGGTGTCAGAAAGGATTCATTCTCCAGCCACACTTGAAGATAGGAACAATTGTTCTACAGCTACAATGAGACAGCAGTTTGAGACTTGGTGACGAGTTCTGTGCATGGATCAGCCCTTTCAGACTGAGTTAGAGGTGAGAGCTAGTGGCCAGCTGCTTTGCTTTTCTGATATTCAATGTGAAGCTTGAATTGAAATGTCAGCCTCTGGGTCTTTATTTTTCATGTTACAGCAAAGTCCCAGGAGCTGGCATATCTGGAGGGCCCTCTGTGGGTTGGCCTTGGTCTAGGCAGGAGGATTGAACCTGCAAAACACACTTGAAAATCGGTGGGGGTCAAAACAGTCTCTGGAAACTGTTAAGTTTTCATCAGGCCATATTTCTTGACACAGTGACAGAACTTCTCCCAGGAACCTGCAGGGGTGTGTAAAACAACTGAACAGGTTTACATCTTGGTGTCATTAAAAAAAAAAAAAAAAAAAAAAAAAAAAGCCGTGGCCTTGGGTTAAAAGGCATGAACACTTTCAGAAGACAACCAGAGGTAATTTAAAACTCTGAAGTTACATCTAAAACCTATTCATTTTGGACTATGAAGCCTATGAACAAGGCAGACTTGTCTGTACTTTTAACAGGAAACTTAACTGATGAGTTACCAGGGTGCTTGAAGCCTTGGGGGTTGGGGGAGAGCTGTTAAATTGTCAAATCTGTCACCAAGTAGTGGAGTACAGGGTTGGGTCACCATGTCCAGCTTACTTATTACTACTATCTTTACTTAGAACTGAATTTACTCTACTGGAAAAAGACATATGAGGAATACAGTATCCCTTGCTGCTTGAAAATGAGTGGCACTGTATCCAGGTTGTAGGTGTACCTTGCAAAACTAGTGGTCATTATCTCCAGTGCCTCTCTCTTCCCCAATGAAAAGCTCAATGACAATAAATCTCAATTGTAGTTAAATGCAGAATCAGAAGTACTGACTAAAAGGCAGAATTCTCACAGCCAGTAAGAATACAGGGAATTTAGGAAAATTTAATTGCAGGATCTTGCCCCTACATGGAAAGTGGGAACAATGATGATTACCTAGATGGTTGCAGTCTTTTTGTTTTAGCCAGCAGACCATTGAAGTTTGGTTTTTAGAAAGGCAAAATTGGGAAAACTATATTTAGTTTGGAAATACACTTTATTGATTGATGATAACTGATACATCATAGGTGATTAATAGCCATCTAAAAGACAAGAACTAAGTTATATATACAAAAGTCTGAACAGAAGAGATGGAGTTTATTGACCTATCCATAATCACTCAAGAGTTCCATTTGTTTATCCAATTGGTATTTCGTGGATTCTTTGTATACAGCCTTGGTTGAGTAAATTAGTTCCCAGCACACGAATTGGGCAACTCAGGGTTGCTTATGCCTCCTGCTCCAAGGGTATCTGACACCTCTGGCCTCAGGGCACCCATGTATACACCACCCACAAATAGACACTCATAATTTAAAAATAAATCTTAAAAAGACTGGTGCTTTTTCATTATGTACACATGTTTATCATAATTTAAAAATAAATCTTAAAAAGACTGGTGCTTTTTCATTATGTACACATGTTTATCATAATTTAAAAATAAATCTTAAAAAGACTGGTGCTTTTTCATTATGTACACATGTTTATCATAATTTAAAAATAAATCTTAAAAAGACTGGTGCTTTTTCATTATGTATTCATGTTTATTAGTGAAAGCCAAGATAGTTCAGCTCTCATAGCCATTGCAGGGGCTGTATAGCTCTACCCTTCACTTGTCAGCCTTGTCCTCCTTGCACCCTCCCCGGGCTTATATTGTAATCAGGCAAATAAATGGAAGTGTATGACCAGAGCTGGTCTCAGAAAGTTTTATTCTGGGAATTAGGACTGGGAATGTAACTGTGATAAGAACACTTGTTTCCATGCAGGCTCCCTAGCTGTTGGTCCAGAGTCCATGTGCTCCCATGAGCTCAGGTCTGCTGTCTCTGTGGGTTCCTCCTTGATCTAGATCCCCTGGTTCATACAATTACTTCTTCCTTTTTTTCAGGAAGACTCCCAGAGCTCAGTGTAGTGCTTGGCTATAGATCTCTGCATTTGCTTTCATCAGTTACTGAGTAATGGCTCTCTGATGACAATTAGGGTAGTCACCAATCTGATTACAGTAGATGGCCAGCTCAGGCACCCTCTCCACTATTGCTAGGAGTCCTTGCTAGGAGTCTTAGTTGGGGTGATCCTTGAACATTCCTGGGAGTTTCCTTGGCACCAGGTTTCTTCCTAACCCCCAACTGTCCTCCCCCGTCAAGATGTTTCATTGCTCTTCCCCTTGTCCTGCCCCCAACCTGGCTCCCATGCATAGTCCAGCCAACCAGCTCCCTCAAGTTCCCATTCCCCCACCCCAGTTTACCTAGGAGATATCTTCTATTTCCCCTTCCTAGGGAAATCCATGCATCCCTCTTTGGGCCCTTTTTGTTATCTAGTCTCTGAGACTGTGGATTGCATGTTGGTTATTCTATACTTTACTTCTAATATCCGCTTATGAATGAGTACATACCATACCACGTTTGTCTTTCTGGGTCTGGGTTACCTCACTCAGGAGAATCTTTTCTAGTTCCATGCATTTGCCTGCAAATTTCACGAGGTCATTGTCTTCTACAGCTGTATTCTGACAGGTGTAAGAGTCATTTTGATTTTATTCCTTCGATGACTAGGGATGTTGAACATTTCTTTGTTTTTCAACCACTTTGTTTCATCTTTGAGGATTCTTTGTTTAGATATATACCCTATTTTCAAATTGGGTTATCTGTTTTCTTAATGTCTAGTTGTTTTAATTGTTTGGCTCTTTATCAGATTGTAGTTATAGCATGATAAATAAAAGACCCAGAGACTGATATTGGGGTTTAAGCTTCTAGCTGAAGATCAGAAAAGCAAAGCAGCCAGCAACTAGCTCTTACCTTTACCTCAGACTGTAAGGCAATCTTGGCTCCACTAATCCTCAGACTGAAATCCCAGACTGTTATGCTCTCCTCAATGTGACTGGAGAATCCTGAGACTGAATACCAGCTGTAAGACCTTGCTCCTGTCTTAAATACCTTCATAATGCTGGGATTAAAGGCGTGTGGTCCCAGATGTGAGATCAAAGGCATGAGCTCTTGTGTAGGCCATGGTGGCCTTGAATTAACAGAGATCTGTCTAACTCTTAATCCTGAGCCCTGGGATTAAAGGTATGTACTACCACTGCCTGATCTCTATAGCTTGAGGTTGACTTTGCCTTCTGAATCCTCAGGCAAGCTTTAATAAATCATAAATAATATATCACCACATATAGTTTCCTACAAAAGTAGGCTTGTTAGACTACCCTTTTGTTCAAATGATATTGTCCTTTGCCATGCAAAAGCTTTTCAGATCCCATTATTGATCTTAGTGCCTGTGCTATTGGTGTTCCATTCGGAAAGTCTTTTCCTGTGCCAATGAGTTTAAGACTATTCCCCACTTTTTCTTCTATTAGGTTCAGTATATCTGACCTTATTTTGAGGTCTTTGTTCCATTTGGAGTTGAGGTTTTGTTTTTGTTTTTTCTTTCTTTTTTTTTTTTTTTGCAGGGTGATAAGTATAAATGTACTTGCATTCTTCTACATGCAGCCATCTGGTTTGACTGACACCATTTATTGAAGATGCTGTCTTTTTTTTCCAGTGTGGACTTCTGGCATCTTTATAAAAATTCAGATGTCCATAGGTGAGTGGATTTATGTCTGTGCCTTCAATTCGATTCTGTTGACCAGCTTGTCTGTTTTTATACCAATAACACATTTTTATTATTATAGTTCTGTAGTACAGCTTAAGATTGGTGTTAGTGATGCCTCCGATAGTTCTTTTATCTTTAAGGATTGTTTTAGCTATCCTAGGTTTTTTTGTGTTTCTGAAACTGAAAGCTGGGTTTCTGAAGCTGGATTTCTTAGGAAGCTAAAAGTTATCCTTTCAAGTTCTGTGAAGAATGTGTTGAAATTTTGATGGGATTTGCATTAGATTGCTTTTGATAGGATGGCCATTTTTACTATATTAATCCTACTGCTCCATAAGCCTGAGAGATATTTCCATCTTCTGGTACTTTTTAAATTTCTTTCTTCAATGTTTTAATGTTTTTTATTACACAAGTCTTTAACTTGCTTGATTATAGTTATTTCAAGATACTTATTTTATTTTTGAGGCTGTTGTTTCCCTGATGTCTTTCTCTGTCTATTGTCATTTGTATATAGGAAGGATACTGACTTTGTATGTTAATTTTATATGCTGCTACATTTTGAAAGTGTTTATTATCTGTCAGAATTTCCTAGTGGGATTTCTAGGGTCATTTATATATACAGTCGTGTTATCTGAAAATAAAGACACTTGGACTTCTTCCCTTCCTCATCTTACCCACTTGATCTTCTTCAGCAGTCTTGTTGTTCTAGCTAAGACTTCAAGTACTATATTGGCTAGGTATGGAGAGAATGGACAACCTTGTCTTGTTTCTAATTTTAGTGGACATGCTTTGAATTTCTCTCAATTTAGGTTGATGTTGACTGTGGCCTTGCTGTAAACTGCCTTTATTGTGTTGAGGTATGTCTCTTGTATCCCTAGACTCTCCAGGACTTGTTTTGTTTTGGTTTTCATTCTCTTTATTGTCAAGTCTTCCAAACAGAATGTTCATTGCAGTTGCCCTAAATGTGTTCTTTTGTTGTTGTTGTAGTTAAAAAAAAAACCAAATTCCTATTGATTCTTTCATGATCTCACTCATCTCCCCCTCTCCCACCCCTACACTCACCCTCTTCCCTTGTAACCTCTCCCCAAAACAAAACAAAATTTAAAAGAAAAATTAAAAAACCAAGCCAACTAACAAGCAAACAAGCAAAACAAAGCAAAACAAAAAAGGAGAAGAGACTCATTGTGGAAGCTGTGTCCAGTGAATCACATTTTACCCTTTAGTCCTTTCATCCTCACTAGCAAATGCTCATTGCCATAAGTCATTGGTCTAGTTTGAGGTCTCTGGCTTCTGCTACACCATCAAAAATGGGCTTTCACTGGGGCTCCTTTTGTCCTGTGTCATGGAGATCCTGCTGTTTTGGATCAGTAGGTTCATCCCCTTCTCATTCTTTAATAGTTCAGAGATGAGGTGGATGTTTGGGTGGGCCAGGTCATAGAACTGGTCTGGGCCTGGGTGGTAGCTGGGTTGGTCAGCCTGCCAGCTTTTCCCATCATCACCACCCAGGTGAGCTCTCCAGCACTGCCTTGGCCAGCCCACCCAATGCAGCCTGCAGCAAGGAGCTGAACCAGTTATCCTGTTCCCAGGCCTCTGCATCTGGCTCACTCATACTCACACCGAGGACCAGCTCCACTGTCTTGCCCAAGTGAAGTGCAGGGCCTCCTCTCTTATTTGCTGTAGGGGGGCATAAAAAGGGGCGTGGCTCAGCTCTTCTGCTCTCATGCTCAACAACAGTTTTAGCTCTAGTGGTAGGGTACAGGGCCTCCTCTCCTGTATGCTGCAGCCAATGAGGGACAGGGCTAGTTCTCCAACTCTTGTGATCCCAGGGCCAGCTCTCTCACCCACTGTGGGCAACAGGGGGTATGGGGGTGGTGGAGAAGGGCATCTCTCCCTTGCCCATGCCACCATATGGCAGACAAGGTGTGGGGTGGTGTCACCTCTGCTGCTCTCAAGCCCCCAGGGCCTGCTCACTTGTGTCAGTTCTAGTGATGTGAATGCCTGTGGTTCTGGGTGGTGCCATTGTTCCAGAATAGGGGGTAGGAGAAGCAGCCCTCCTACTGTAGTATCCACTGAGGGGCAGGACCAGATAGGGCCAGTGGGGGCCATGACCAGCCCAACACAATCTTTGGATTTCAAAACATGTGGTTTCAATGGCCCATTGTGGTAACATGGGCCATTGATATCAGCACAGACCCCAGCTGCAGCCAGATCATGGATCCAGACACAGCCCTCAGCAGCAGCTTGGGTCCATATGTCACCATGGCCCCAGTAGCAGGATAGGCCACTTAGATCAGTATGGCCCTGGTGGCAGCATGGCCCTGGAACACCAACATGGACTCAGAGTCATCACATGGCCCTTGGTGGTAACAGGAGCCATGGACATCAACTCAAACCCTGGCTGTTGGGGTGGTCAGGCACACCTGTAGCCAGCCCCTAAGTAGGCGTGGCTACAGCTTCCCCTACACTGTTTTATGACCACAGACCCAGAAATGGCCCTCAGATCATACCATGGTTCAAGTGACAGCTCAGGCCATTCAGATCAGCAAGGCCTTGGTGGCAGCATGGCTCTCAGACACCCACATGGCCACAAGTTGTAGCCCAGACCCCTGGCATCAGTTTGGCCTTTGGTGGCAACATGGGCCGTATAAATCAATACAGACCCTGGCTGTGGTTCTACCACAGATGTGGTCATAGGAAGCAGCCAGGATTTGGGTGTCACCATCCATCTGACATCCATGTCACCTGACTTTTCTGAATCCTCAATCTTTATATATCACTACAATTCCCTGTTTTTGTCTAATATGTAATATGAAAAATAAA